GAAAGGAAAGGAAAGGAAAGGAAAGGAAAGGAAAGGAAAGGAAAGGAAAGGAAAGGAAAGGAAAGGAAAGGAAAGGAAAGGAAAGGAATGGTTTCATATACTCTTGTATTTCCTGATGCCAGGGGCATCTTTGGGTACCACTGGAACTTCTTCAGTGGGATCCAGCTCAGAATCAGAAAACATCAGTATTGATGTCCCAGGAGCTCTGCCCTAGCTGTGATCTTCCAGCAGTTTATTTTGCTGTAGAATCATCTTCAGGGATGTGAAGCTTTTTGCTTTGATACTTTTGTGCTCTTTCCTGCTGAAACTCAATGATTTTTGTTTTTTCCCTGACCTGTTACAAAAGTGTTACTTTCCTGCCAGTTACTGGGTCAGTTACATTCAGTTTCCGGACAGTTACTGGGTCTGTTTTCTCTGTGTTCTCATCATGCTACTGATTTTGTGCTTTAGATTTCATGTTTCTATTCTTTTTTTTCCAATTCCTCTGCAATTTGTTTGACTGTCAGAGGAATGTAAAGCCTAGTTAGGTGCTTGGTGGAGGAAGACAGCTTGGAAGAGTTTCTTGCTGTTTAGTTGTGTTGTTTAGCATCCTTTATCTTTATGGTCCCAAAGTCATCCCTGATCCTTGTTCACTCTCATTAACCTGTGCAGTCAGGTGCTGTTTCCAGCTGGGGACTGATCCGTCCCAAATCAGAGGCAAGGAGAAAAGAGTTGGAGCAAATACACTGAAAACGAACATTTCAATACACATTTCATATTGTATGAAGCACTATGCAATGCTGTTAAATAATTGCCTCTTCTTGCCTATTCAGCAGTATTTTGGATTGTGAACCTGGCCCCAGGGGAATCAAGGCATATTTAAGGTGGTGGCTGTGTGCCAGTCCTTCCTCTGAGACTGCTAAACCCGTTGGCAACTTCAAAGTGACTTTAATCATGATTTCAAAGATACTGACTGAGCTGACACACCTCATGCAACAGGCAGCTGGCAGAGAGGTGGGATCTGAGTTAGGGCTTTAGTGAGGAAAGATGTGAAATCTGAAGCTTCTGACTGGTAAGGAATGTGGCTGATTCTTCCCTCTGCAGGACTGGGGAGGCTGAGAGGAGGAGAAAAGCAGATTGGGAATGCCTCAGCCTCAGGAAAAGCTTTGATCAGATCTGAGCCTTATTAGATTGGAGATAATCCAGTAACGAGATGCAAAGCTGAGATAGAAGCAAGGGGTGGGGGCTCAAGCTGGGGCTCCTGCAGACCTGCTTGTGCCAGGTTGTGTTACAGGAGGACTCACTGGGCTCCCACCAGCATCCTGCACCTCCAAGGGATCCTTTACCCTACTGTTGCATCACTCAGCTGTGCCAGCTGACCAGTACTGATTAACACGTGTTGGGTTTTTTTTTTTAATCTTAAGTAAAGGCAAAGTCTCTAGGGGGTTTCATCTTTTTCTTAATTCCTGTCTTCAAATCTCCTTTTACTTTCAGTTCTTCTGTAATTGCAGAGTAGCAGAGGGTGCAGAGCTTCTTGTTGCTTCCCCAAAGAGTTCACATTTAGATTTATGATTTATTTTTAAACGAAGTCTGTTTATAATAGATCTGTGCCCATCGCTGACCTGACTGGGAAGTTCACAGCAGTGACTGTAACAGGTCTTTGCCCTTCTGTTATCTCAGAGTGGGGTTCATGTCTACTGTGCTTGGGATAAGAGGATCCCTACTGCTGTTGCACAACATAAAAGCTCGTTCAGGAGCTCTTTAAAATTTTGCATGGTCCTGCTGTATTTGGTGAGTGTGGAGAGTCATTGTCACCTGCAGTTGTCCTGGCTGGCAAAGGCTGAGGGTGTGAATCAGCTCTTGTGTGTCTGCAGAGAATTGTTAAGGTTGGAAAAGACATACAGGATCATTAACCCAGCACTGCCAAAGCCACCTCCAAACCCGGTCTCCAAGTGCCACATCTACACATCTTTTAAATCCCTCCAGGGATGCTGACTCCACCATTGCCCTGGGCAGCCTGTTCCAATGCCTGACCACCTTTCAGTGAAGAATCATTCCCTAATATCCAATCTAAACCTCCCCTGGTGCAACTTGAGGCCTTTTCGTCTTGTCTTATGGCTTTTGACATGGGCAGAAAGACTGACACCATGAAAACCTCCCCAACTGTTTTGTGATTTCAAATACTCCAAAATGCAGAACAATGAGAGCAGATAGCTCTGTACCTTACTCCTGATATTAAATACTGGGGTATAGTAGAGCTAAGGGGAGGAGGAAGAATAGAACAAATAAAAGAAAGTACTTCTTAAAATATCAAGAGAGATTTTCAGGAATTAGTTGCTATAGGAGGTGGTGGAGGCAGCATCAAAACGTTCAGAAAGCAGTGAGAGAAATGCTACATTCTGAAAAAAACAGACAGGGGGTTTCCCTCTAGCATCCCTGGTCCATGAAATAGTTATTACTGTTTTAGTGAACTCCAGCAGTGTAAACCCACGTCACAGGGGCCTCTTGCCCTGGTTGTGTGTTTTTGCAGAGGAGGACTGTAAGAAGTACTGGCAGAGGAAGCAGGAGGAGGCCAACCAGCCTCTCCAAGTGCCAGCAGTGGACAGCAGTGTACCAAAGACATCAGAGCTGATGGGCATCACCATCAGGGATGATCCATATGGTAAGAGCCTGTGCTTCCATTGCTGCCTGATACCTCGTGTTGGAATCTCCTTCCCCATGGGGAGAGCAGAAACCTGCTTGCTTTCATAATTCCCACAACTTTTCATACCCCAGGCCAGAATGGTTTCTTCATTTTTCCTGTTTCTTAGAGCAAAGAGGGGAAGCAACCCTGGGGAACACTTCACCCAGGAATAAGCTGGCACAGAGCCACTGGACACACATGGGAGGAGACTTCATGGAAATGTGTCCCTTAGCCCAGCCTGGCCCAGAGCAGCAGCTGCTGAAAGCTCAAGGGGTTGGAACCCAGGGGCAAGGGTGTCAGAGGTGATTTCCCTGCCCTGTCTTTGGCAAGTGGAACCACCTTGAATGAAAAGGAAGTGGTTTGAAGTAGGACTGGGTGTGCAGTGGGTGGAGAGAGGAAATGGGCTCTGTGTGTGTGCATTGCTGTGTGTGCAGCCCTGCATGTGCAGCCAGGTGTGTGCACATGTTTGTGCTGGCCAGACTCACTTCAGGTGGCCACCTTTGCTGCATGTGTGGACATCACTAACCATCTCAAGATGTCCACAGAGCAGTATCCTGGTATTTGTACACGGCAGCTTTGCCTGATGTGACCCCCAAGTTAGCACCATGCCCCTGCAGCAGTACCCTCAGTTTGACTGACCTGGCAGACATTCCCCTTCTGCTTCACTGGATGCTTCTTGGGCTGAATCTGCCTGCTGGGTTGATACTTTAGTCAGCAGCTTTTAGAGCCTGACCTATTTTTTCACTGTGGTAGGCTTTAATTGGCATAAAAAATGGAATATATCTGTAGTGACATTGATAGGGAAAAAAAAATAACACGGTTGGAAACTATCCAGCAGTATTAAGGCACTTAATTATGAGCAACATTGCCCTTAAAATGCAGCACTTTAGTATTTGAATAACTGCTAAATAAATAAGAGCTGCCAGCCATTAATGTAATTGGAAAACAGGCCCATTAGGATATGACTTCAGGTACCCAGGTTTGACATCTTAGCCATAAAAATGACAGGTTCCAAATGTCAAGGCTCACCCCATAGCTCCATCAACAGCAGAAGGCAGGACATTGCTGAATGCTGTTTTGGTTGGGAAGTTTGAATCTCTCTGACCTGAACTAGGGAAAAAGGACCCAAAGCCACAAGGATATTATAGATGTGAAACTCTCAGTGAAATCCCAGAATGTCAAGGCTCTGAGTTGCTTCCCCTGGGGTACTCTGCTCTCTCCAGCTCCATCTAGACTCCCTGTGGCTGGATGTTATTGCCTCCACAGATTTTGCCTGTCTGTACCTCAGCTCCTTTCCCTGACCCCTGCCAGGCAATGTGTGTGTGTGAACAGCCTGGCCAGTGAAAGCAGCCAGGGCACTGATGTGTGTTACCTCCTGCCAGCCCTGTTAAGGAGTCTGGGCTGAAGGGCAGCTCATCTAATAAAATGCTAAATTACCTTTACAAGTTTGGCCAAAGCTTTTCTCAGAGTCAGACTCCTGATTCTGAGTTAAAGTCTGTGGGAGCTCTTGAAAGTTCACTACAGGAGTGAATTTCATTTATAGTAGATGACAGCTACATTTTTAATGGTTACAGGGAGTGGAACAGAGATATTTGATGCCTTCATCTGCTACTGTCAGAAAGACCTCCAGTTTGTCCAGGAGATGATCAAGGAGCTGGAGCAAACAGAGTTCAAACTGAAGCTCTGTGTATTTGATCGGGATGTCTTGCCAGGAACCTGTGTGTGGTCCATCAGTGGAGAACTTATAGAGAGGAGGTAAGTGAACCATGGCTCTTGGGGCCAGCTGTGAGTGCAGTGGAACATTACATTCATTTTACAGTGATGTCTGCAGCGTGGTGCCAGCTAAACAGCAAAAATTCACAAGAATGTCTTAATGGGGTTTGTTTTATGTTCTTGGCTCAAGAAGGATGACTTGGGCATTCCCCAATGTGTCGCTTCATTGTGTTCATGAGGGAGGTGCCACTGTGGTGATGCTACTTATGTTCAATCACTTTTCTTTGCCTTGTGTGTCATATATAGACACAGGATCACATAAAGGCTGCATAGATAGTCTGGACTTCACTGTTTCCTCATTTTTTGGTATGTGAGTGTGTATCTGTAATCAGGTTTTTCTGTGTAACATCTCTATGTGTATGTCAGTCATTCCTGCTCTGCAGTTAATTCCTGCTGGAACACAGCCAGGTCCTTCTCCTTCTCTGGAGCAATTCAGAGCAGTACATGCTTCTGTTTGTGGCAATAAAAACCATCTCCTTTGATATTTTACTTCTTTTCTCCCCTGCTTAATCTCCAGGTGTCGGAGGATGGTGGTTGTCGTTTCAGATGATTACTTGGAAAGCGACGAATGTGATTTCCAGACCAAATTTGCTCTTAGTCTTTCCCCAGGTAAGATCACACAAATATCCCATTTACAATTGCACATGATCATTTTTATTACAGTGACAGCTACGTCTTCAGCTGAGGTCAGTGGGCACTGGAACTAACAGGGGCTTCATAATTTGGTTGTGCAGGCAGGGGTTTGGGCTCAGTCCCTTGCTCTGCTCTTGACCTTCCTCACGTGGCCGTGAGCAAGAAGCTGCCTGTGCTGCACTGCTCCAGCTGTCAGTGGGATAATGCTGCCTGCTCCAGAAATGTCAGAGCTGCATCTCAGGCTTGTGAAGGGCTTCCAGATCCAGACAGGAAAATTTGCTGCTAAAGAGACAAGTCGTATAATAAATCCAGGATGTGAGTAAAGCTGGGAACTAGGTGACAGGTAATGAACATGCAGATTTCAAGGCCGGGCTGGGTGGGGCTCTGAGCAACCTAGTGTAGAAGGTGTCCCTGCCCATAGCAGGGTGGTTAGAACTGCACGATCTTCAAGGCCTCTTTCAACCCAGCCTATTCCATTTTGTGATTCTTGCAGGGATCCTTGAGTATTGTGTATAGGTAAACAAAATATGGAATGAATGTTCAACTTGGGTTGGGAAAATTTTTACATATTTTGTTCTGAATTGAAAAGCCACCAATTTACTTCTGCCAGCTCTGGTGTGATTGCTCTTCTCTAGCCACTAGTTTTCTACAGTTGTCTGTGTTGCTGGGGAGTAAGCACAGCCCAGCCTAATAGTATGGAGGATATGTAGAATTGGGAAGAGTATCTGAATGTAAAGCCTCTTTTCTAGATGAGGCATCTGTCATATTATAAAGGACATGCCAGAGGTTAGACTGGAAGCTGGTGGCAGAAACAGGAATTCACTCCATCTTCCTTGACACACTAATTTCATTATATCAGTTAATCCATTGAACACTCCCAGGACTTTGTATCAGCCACCAGTCATCAAGATTTGTAGAAAAGTCCTTTTAGTTCCTCACCAGTTTTTTTTATGGGCATCACACCTTCCATTGGAACAGGAAAAGAAGTTCCATCTGCATGGAATGACCTGAGCTCTGCCAGTGAGATCAAGGGTGGAAGTCACAGCATTACCTGTTTGTGGGGGTGTTAGTAATGCACAGGAGGGTTTGGTGGCAGGCTCTGGGAGCTCCATGGGTTACTCCAGTATCTACTGCAGTTATGAAATCTTGGTTATTTGCCTCATCTTAGTGTCATCACTTGTTCTGGGCACAGTGCAGGTGGTGGTAGGTGTCCCTGTGGAGAGCTACAAGGGCAGAAACTCCTCTGTAGAAGAGCTGCTCCTTCAAGCAGCAGCAGATACAGGGAGAGTTCTCTCATCTCGTGGTGTCTCAAAATCAGCAGTCCATGTTAGCAGGGGGATTCATTCTGCAGCCTGAGTAAATCAGGACTCAGAGATTTGCTCTCCAGAGTGAGAGCTGGTTGCAATATAATCAGATGCTGCCCAGTCAGGAGCAAGGCTGGATGTGCTTGCTGTGGTGGGGAGGGAATGCTGTGGGCTCTGCCCGTGGCTCTGTGTAACTCTCTGCCTCTGGGACCTCTCTTTCAGGTGCTCGTCACAAGCGGCTGATTCCAGTCAAGTACAAATCCATGAAAAATGAGTTTCCAAGTATCTTACGGTTCATTACGATTTGTGACTACACCAATCCTTGCACCAAAAAATGGTTCTGGAGGAGACTGGCAAAATCCCTCATGCTGCCCTGATGCAATGTCCTGAGAGCTGGGTGCTCTTGTAACCTGTCCTGGCTGTGCCTTCGGACCAGGGGTGTCCTTGACACGGGGTCTTCCACCACTTCAGAACCTGGATCCTTGCTTGGAGCCTGAGACTGGGAACAAAGAACTCTCTCCAGCACTTCTTCACAACTCTGAGGGGAAATAAAGCAACTCTGTGGGTGTTCCGGGTTAAGTCAGTGAGCAGCAGCCTCCAGCATTTGTGGAGTAAGCACTTTCACTAAAAATACTGAAAATACTCAGTTAAAGAGTGTCTGATACAGGAAGACTGTTGTTAAAATTAGCAAGACCTCAGAACCTCAAACTGCAGGTTTTGTCAATGTTTCAAAAGCTAAAGTAACATTGAGGCTTGTGGGAATTTTACAATATTGGACAGGTCTGTTTCTATTCAGGTCACTTTATACCAGCATTTAATATTCCCAGATATTACTAAATTTTTACTTCTTCTTCAGGAGAAATTCAATCTTAAAATACATCTTTTCAGTGACAGTCCTTACTACACAAAGGAGGGGCTGCTGTTGCTCATTGACTTGACCAAAGTGTGCATCTCAGTGGGTCCAGATCTGAAATTCTTTCACCTTTAAAGGCCTTCCAAAACAGAGCAGCTTTTGGGATGCCTCAAAGGCACAGGGCTAAACACTGAATAAGGAGTGTATTAAATTGACAATTGGGCTGTTTAAAATATGGAGGTGAATGTTATGTTAATATAAAAGAGCCTAATTTAATTAACTGCCACAATAATTACTGTATTTCTGTGAGTAAGGCTCGGAGCAATGTCAAGACTGCTCTGCTTGTTAGACTTGGCCTTGAATCCTGCCCATGACTTGTGGGTCTCATCAGTGCTCCAGGGTGGAGGTCATGAGTTCTACCCAAAGGAGTGTTTAAAGTGATCCATTGGTGTATTAAACAGATTTACAGTAAATATTGACTTTTTAAATTGGGGAAGAGAGGAATCTTGCTTATGTATCTGCAGTTGCTTGAACTCTGCCCCTTTGTTCATTACTTCAGCCACTGACGCATGTTGATTTTACAGCTTAATGTTTTACTAGTTTACATTTTTAAGGTTGCATCTGGATATGATTTAATTTTTTTCAATTTTAGCTTTGTTTTAAAGCATTACCAGGGCTGATACAGAAATGTGCTCCTGCCCCCTCCCTCACGCTCCCTGGCAGTGAATTATCCCTAACCAGGGATGCTGCCAAATCCTGTCTAGGTGCTGCTGCTGCTTCCTCCTGGCTGACAGCAGCAGCCCTTGACCTGAGCATGGTGAAACTCATTCACACACATCATGTTGGCAGCAGGAGCCATTTTTGGATAGACCCAGGAGCTGGGTGTTCCTTTTACAAAAGTAACTGCTGCCATCGTGCCAAGGTGACATTTGCACCTTCGTGTCTTGCTAGAACAAGTGAGAAGTCTGTGAGCACGGGGAGGAGGAAAGTTAAGTTGATGAGGGGTTTCTGAATAGTTTGTCTTCCTGTCCTATTGCCCTGGGGCCTCTCCTGCAGAAGTGGAGACAGCTGCTTGCCTCGGGCTTTCTGCATAATCGTTAAATGTTAATTATAGAAGAGCTTCAGGAGGCTGCTTGATCCCCAGGCACTCCGGGGGCTCAGTGAATTCTCATACTCTGGAGAGTCTATAAACATCAATTATGGGTCATTACTCGCAGGACCGAAGCAAATTCCTCCTGCTTGGAGAGCTGGAAGGGCTCTGGTGGCTGCTTCAGGGGCAGCTGAGGCAGAGGAGCCCGTGCTGTGGACGCTAGAGGGAGGCCATGGCCCATGCCAGGGAATACAGGTGGGATGGGGAGACATGGCCAGGATGGACAGCAGGGCATGGAAAAAACACAAATGGGTTCTTCCTCTCTTGCCCTTGCTCCCCTTCTGAGCAAGGTATACCAAAACCAGCGAGAATTTTGGCAGCCTAAGCCTTGTGCGATGTCTTCCGAGTCCTGGTGGTTTGGGACTTGGTGTGTTGTATATGAGGGGAAAATAACAGCTGGAAAAATGATGATGTTTGTAATAGATGATTTGGTGATCCCCCAACAGGGAAAGTGCTGATTCTGGAAGGGAAAGCAAACAGAGGAGCTGAATTTCTAAATTTTTTGAGTTCCAATAGATAAGTGCCATATTCCAGTCAGTGGTGAAAGATGTTGGGATCTTGTTACCACCCTGCTTGTGGTGCCCTGGCCCTTCTCTCTGCTTGGCTTGGATGCTGGGAAAGTCTTACTGTTATGGGGCTGTTGCTTTATTACAAGTTACAATATATCTTATAGGCTAAAATAATTATTTTGGGGTAAAGTGAGGTAACAGCCCTAAAACATAAAATTCGCTTTAAATATGTATTCTCTTCTATATAAACCCCAGAGTTTATGCACTGTTACACTTTCATATCTGCCTTGTCACATAAACTTGAAGTGTGACATTGTGAATGATACAAAATGTAGTTGCTGTGAACCATTTGCCCATTTCAGTGGCATTTGGTATTCTCCTCCCCTCTTTCATGCTCAATGGAAGGTCAAAATTTTTGAACACCTTTAAAAAAGGGATTTATAAAATTGTGATGTCACAGGTTTTTTTCTATTTTGTCTCTGTGCCTCTCTGAAATTGTCTTAGTTGAATCTGTTAGTGCCAAATCATCTATTTTTATATATAGACATATATGTATATAATAATTTTGCGTCCTGATACAAAGGGGGAAAGCATCTGTCTTTATAGGCATTCAGAAAATAGACAATGTTTGTTTTTCTCCTCAAAAATCCAAACTTTTGCTACTTGTGAAAACATTTTAAAATAAAGAATGAAAACCCAGCAGGCTCAATCTGTTTTGTGGGCATCCAAGAGCAAAAGTGTGTCTCAAAATGAAGTTTAAATGAGGAATGAAATGGGATAGTTCTTTATTTTCTTTTCATGTTTTGGATAAATGTCATCAGAGGGGGTGGTTGGCTGTGCCTGGGGAGAGAGAAATAGAGTTATATCATGCCAGGAGGAAATTCTATCAAGGAATTCTACTTCAGACACGTAGTTCCTCTCCAGGTCTTGTTTATGGGGTTTTGATCTGTGTTGCCATCCTGGATTTCTTCAGCCCTGGTACCCATCAGGCTGGAGGGGATGGAAGCAGGGCTGTGCTGGGATGCTGCTCCTGTCCCACACCCTTTTCTGGAGGCCCCAGCAGGGATTATGACAGTGCAGTGATCCGGGTGATTCTGCCAGCTTTATTTCCTTTGGCTCGCACTCAGTCCAAGCCAGGGACATAACTGAAAGCCAGCAGCTGTCGGGCCAAGGCCCTGCCACACAGGAAAAGATGAAGGATCACTAAATCACGGAAGTGTTGGTGGGAAGGAATTCCTGGAGGTCAAGGCCGAGCTGCTCTTCCCCATGGGAGGGGCCATACCCTAAGCCACTTGCAGGGCTGTGTTCCCTATAGAGCATATGAAGTCGTGTCTCTGCTATGGCTACTATGAACATATGGACAGCAGCATGGAAACCATGTCTGGATAGATTATTCTAGATGGAAACTGATGGCAAGAGCAGCCTGCCAGGAGGGTCCCATTCCCTGGAAGTGCTGGCATCCCACCACTCCCAGTGCAGCTTTACACACTCCCCTGTTCTGTGCTTTGGAGCAGTTAATGATTCTTGCCCGTATTTGAGCCTGAGCTCTGGTTCAGGTCGGGTTGAGAGGTCCAGCAGCAGCGGCTCTTTTCCAGCTGTCATTCCCCTTTTGCTGAAGAAATATTCCCAGTCCTCTGTTTTACTTTGGTGCAAGAATGTTGGTACCATTTCCTCATTTACTGGAGGACAGTGTTTGGCTGGTAAAACTGCTGCACAATGTTCTCAGCTTCAGAAAGAGAGAGTGAGAGCTCAGTGGATCAAATTCCATCCTTCATTTTCACCAATGTGACAAGAGTTATGTTACTGTGAGGGACTGCTTGGTCCAGAGGGCACATTTACAGGAATAAAATTAGCATAAGGAAGAAAGAGTATGCATAAAAAATACCTGGAAAAATGTTACTTGAGCACCCTGAAAACAGATTTTAATAAGGCAATAAAAAACAACCCCCACAAGGTTCACACTGCTGGGAAACATGCTCATAGAGTTTATTAAAGAGCACCTCTATCACGCCATTTGGGGCTTTACAACATGTGTTGTGTACAAATATTTTGCTAAAGGTAATTTTCTCTAGGTGTTACAACCATTTTTGTATCCCCACTAGGACTTTGAGATGACTTTGAACCCAACTCAACCTCTTGATCAGCACTATCAAGCCCAGCCCTGGGAAAACTTGTTTATTTTGCAACAAAATCTGCAGTCAGGGGACTGAATAGTGTTGTATTCTCTCTGGGGCTGTGCTGCGCTATGAAAGTTTAATTAATTGGAGCTGTGTTTAAGTCTTAAGCAGTTCCAAAGTCTGATTTACAAACAATGCATTTTCTGTTCTGCAGCAGAATCCAGCTTAGCAGTATTTTTTCCTCATCCTGTTCCCACTGATAAAGCTGCTCATGCCATCGTAGATGTTGGGGCTGTCCTTGCCCACCAGACAGCCTGATCCTGCAGGGATGCATCCCTGCAGTTCAGAGCATGAAGGCCGTATCAGGTGCATATGGAGCTTCTCCAGCCTTGCAGCCAGTGGAGGGCTTTTGATTCCCATTTCCCCAATTCCTAGTCTTGTTTAGGGTGGGTTTTGGAGGGGCTGGACTGGAAGAACAGAATGAACATATCTGTATTGTCCATGAAACACTTAACTGTGACTCTCTACGAAAGGCTGCTTGGAACTTTTTCCTCCTCCTGTTTCCACACGCTTTCCCACTGCCTTGGAGAGCAGGACAATGTGCAGTGTGTCGGGCTGAGCCCAAGGACAGCACAGCTGTTCCATCCTGTGCTTCCAAGCCTCCCCTTCCCAGCAAACACGGAGAACCCCCAGTGAGGAGGCAGGTGGCAGATGGCTGGGAGCGCAGAGGCGCTGGGAGGAACATGCCAGCATTTCCTCAACAGCCAAGCATCTAAACCCTCCCCAGACCAGAGAGATTTTGCACAGCTCAGTCCTTCCATGCATTCCTGCAGGGAAAGAGCAAAGCAGTGTGTCTGGCTGGGTGCCAGCCTCCAGGGAAGATGCACTGGGTCCTGCTGGCTCCTAAGGGGAGTGGCTGCTTATTTACCTGTGCCAAGAGAGCAGGAGGGCTCTGCAGAGGAGGCACTGGGTAACATGGTGCAGGACCACGAGGAGAACCCTTGCTCCAAGCCCAGTGGGGATACAGAGGCTCAATGCTACCAATCTTCTGTGGTTTCTTAATGAAATCAAAGCCATGAGGTGATAAAATAGGTCTTTAACCACTGTTTAGGATGCTAGTCAGGAACTCACAGGGAATACATTCAGGAAAATGTGGGGTTATCATGAAGTGAATTTTCACAAAGTTTTTGCAGCATTTTTTCTAACTCTGATCTTCAGCTGTGTCTGCCTTCTGTCTGTGTCAGCAGAATGAGATGTATGAGCTGCAAGACCTGAGGTGTTTAACTGCTCACATGCCATTTCTGAGGCTGTTTCCTCAGAAACAAATAGTACTCAGGAGGGGAAAAACTGGGAAAGCAAATCTGGAGTTCCCTGTGCTCTCCCCTGTCCCACTGGAGCCATGGCAGACCCTGCAGTCAGCTTTACAGGAACATTTTCAAAAGTATTCAGAAATCTGGGTGACAGATTTAAAACTACTGAATCATAGACGATTTAGTGTTTGACTTTTGGTAGGACTTGACAGAGACCCCTCTA